TGGAGAGAGGAAGCCCGCCTGCCCTCTGCCTGCAGGAGCCAACCTGGGGCTGGTGATCTAGATTCCAGTCAGACGCCACCCCACGCCATTTTAGCCTGGGGTTACACCCAAAGGCTTACGCCACACTCAGGGCAGCCCGTGAGGTCTGGCCTTGCAGGGCTCCGGGATCCCACCTGCACTCAGACAGTGGGACATGCCCTGGAACTGCAAGCACAGTGGCCAGCCCTCCTGCTGGGGACACAGAGGGCAGCCCTGAGGCACCGTGGCTAACTCAGAGGCCACACTACAAACGCACCCTAGACCTCATGATCTGTCCCCATGAGCCTCACCGCTCCAAGGCCCCTGTGAGGCAGCCAGTCCTGCACAGCCCCACAGGGAGGCCACACGTCGAAAGTTAGCTCCACAGGACCCACAACGAAGACACCACCATTCGCGATGGGACCCCGTGCTGCGCCCCCTGAGCAAGGCCCTCGCTGCTCTGGGCTGGCTCCCTCCCATCGCAAGCTGAGATGGCGGTATCGATCGACAATTCACCAACAACCACCATGCAGGTGGACACAAACTCGGAAGGAAAGCCCACGTTCTCTACCGGCACTACGGAGCCACGATCATCGCCCAGCTTCCCCGGCGAACACCTGGCTTGCCGTCAGACAAATCTCATCCTGCTGGGTGTGGCATCCTGAAAGGGGCATCAGGGCTGGAGGACCTGCCCTACGCCGAGGGCACAGGCTCGCTTGCGGGCAGTCGGGAGGACTTGAAGCACTTGCAACCTTTGGCGTGGAGTATAACTCAGTGTAAAGACAACCCAGATCTCCACACTTGGACCAATGAGCAGCATCATGAGAGGGGGAGAAGAGATAGAAGTCGTCAGGGAGTTTGGCTTGCTTGGGTCCACAGTCAATGGTCATCGACGCAGTGGTCAGGAGAAGCAGTGGTCAGGAGCATCGCGTTGGTCAAGTCTGCTGCTCAAGACCTCCTCTAAGTGTTGCAAAGCAGGGATGTCACTCTGAGGACTGAGGTGGGCCTGCCAGCCGGGCTGTTTTCAGTCACCTCCTGTGCGTGTGAGCATTGGCTACTGACTCAGGAGGACCGAAGCAGCAGCGCCAGCATTTGAATCAGGTGCTTGTGGAGGATACTGAAAGTACGGGGAGGGCTGGGGCAGGCGAGAGGCGGGGTCTGCAGGGCGGGCACAAGGGAGAGATGCTTCCTGGGGACATGCAGGGCGCTGAGAGAGCCAGCAGCCAGCTGTAAGCACAGCCAGCGGGCAGACCCTGCAAGGCCTGTAGGCTGCAGACAGGAGCTGAGAAGAGGGGCCTCAGCAGG